GCTGCGTTTGCAGCAGCATGCTCTGCCCTCCTCATGTAACTCTCTCTCTCTTTGTCTCTCTCTCTTTCTCTTGACAGCTCCCTTTCCCTCTCCCTTGACCTCTCCCGCTCCCGCTCTTTGTAGGTTGACTGATACGGCTGAGACTGGTAGTGGTGCGTGTGAACTGTTTTGTCCTCAGAGAAGCGAACTCTTAACCCCTCACGAGCCCCTCCTCCTTCCCGCTCCCTCTCTCCTCCACTGCCTTCCTCACTCCACACACTCCCAACTCCTCTGAGGATTCTGGGTGAGGGTGGACGGCCAACAGTTGGCGTTGTGGCTGCCAGGGAAGATGAGGTGACTAGGTAGGAGGAGCTGGAGGACTGAGCGGCAGATGACACCGGCTGAGAGATGACTGCAGATGAAGGAAACACCACACTTGACATCTGACGGCTGAAGTGCTCTGTTCCCCTCCTTAATCTGCTGTCATCCCTTAGAGCACGCTCTCTGGCAGCCAGGGCTAGGCCTAGTGGCGATGTGGGGTCAAGAGCCTTTCCCGTCAGAGGGTGAATGAAGGTGGTGGTAGTCGAGGGTGCTGGCTGCCTGGCTGCTGCTGTGTACAAGTCAGTAGGCACAGATTTAGGCTGATAATCCAGGGCAGATGAGGAGTACTCAGGTAGGCCAAAGGCTGGAGGCATACTGCGGGTGTGATGGATAAAGGTGTCCGCAGAGAACATGCCCTCGTCAATAGATTTAGATGGGCGCAGCCGTGTTGATGAACTTTCAGCCTGCGTGCTAAGCTGTTGCTGTGACACCTGAGTCCTTGTTACTCCTCCTATTCCATCACTCACTCCAACAAGACTCGCATCCTCCTCAGCAGACATGAACAAGGAGGCACTCTTTCTGCGGGCTTCATGAAACCTTTCCCTGTCTCTACGCGCTGCACCAACTATGGCAGCCCCAAACTGGCTGGTAAAGTCCAGGTTATCCTGGGCTCGGATAGAAGGCAGGGATGGAGGTGGTGGTGCTGGAATGGAAGGCGGGGCAGGGGGAGTGGGAGTGGAGGGAAGAGGGCCATGGGGTGGTTTTGCTTCATCTGTTTCCCCTGATGCAGGATCAGCCTCCACACTGCTGCCCTGGCTGCTGCGGCCACTACTGCTGGTTGAAGGGGCCTTGACAATTATGGTAGGGATGGGGATGGAGCTTTTCTCCAGCGAGCTTTTGCTCCCCAGCGTACCTTGGCCCATGCGCAGATCCTCTACTTTGGGCTGCTTCACCAAGGGGCCCTTACCCCTCCGGGCCCCTCCTTTGGGGCCCCCTGTCCCAGCCCCTGCTGCACTGCGGTCTGCTCGCTGGGGTTGATTCTGGGTAGTCTGTTGTTGCTGGGGCATTACAGTGGCAATGCTGGATGGGGGGACGGCGGTGCTGTAGCCTCTCCGAAGACCTGCTGCCTTTGCCCCTCCACCTATGGCAGCTCCAACAGACTCCCCAGTATAGGCAACCTTGCGTGAAGCAGTCCTGCTTTGATTAGTGTGAGCAGCTGCATGTGCATATGAGGTTGTGTGGTCCACTGCTCCACCACTGGGGCCAGTACTGACACCACCTGCCCTCTCCCTGCCCCCATGAGTGAAGTGCACGGGCTGAGAGTAGGGCTGGTAGTGTGCAGATGTAGATGTGGACTGGGACATGGAGACAGAGGGCTGCTGAGATGACTTAGCTCTCCAACCTAGTGGTGGAGCAGAAGAGAATGGAGGGTCAGGTGGAGCAGTGGTAGGAGGAGGGGGGATGTCGTCTGGGCCAGGCACCGACAGACTGCGGGCAAACTTCATGGCTGGAGGATGCAGGAACTGCTTTTCCTCCTCAGGCACCCCTGCAGTACATCATTCACAAGTGGAGAAATAAACATGGATGAAAAGGGGATTTACATATGGAGTCAAGTAAGACAGGCTGAACCAGGAAAAAATAAAAGTTTTGGCAGAAATAAGATTGACAAGGCAAATGAACCAGAAAAAAAGGAAAACAAAGTAATTTGTGTAATTTATGAGAATGTCTGTGTAAGTCTGCCTGCCGATCTACCTGTCAGCGAGTCTGTCCTCAGTTCTTATGTCCGTTAGTATGTACAGTAAGTTAATTAGTGCTACATATTCCAAAAGCAAGTAGCAGCTGAAGAGCATTATACAGCAGCACTTTACTGGTCACCAGAGGGCATGTAACTATTTAAGGGGAGAGTTAGCAAAGCCTTAGTAAGCAACAAACCAGAAAGTAAGTCATTAGAATAAACCAAGGAGACTGATACTGTAGCCCTTCTGTATGTAACAAATAGTAGTGGTAACACTCAGTTTTACAGTACACCACAGATATAATTGCTCAAACACGTGAGAGTACAATGACAGAAACAGTACAAAGTGTGCACATTTTTGGCTAGACAAACACGTCAGCACAATGTCGAACTCTGCTGGTCAAGAGGACAGACAGATAGGCAGACAGAAAAAACAGACAGTCTCACCGATGGATTTCTGCCGCAGCATACCGTGGTGTGGGGCATGACCTGAGGTGTACTGTCCACGGTCATAGCCGAGGCCCAACCCAGATGGCATCATCCCAGACTGATCTCCATAATTTGGCTGAAATGGTAAAAATGAAGAGCATGTAAATGAGAGTAAAACAAACTGTAGTGAGAGTCCATCCTAGTACATATGTAGGTAGTGATGGTTCTGATAGCAGGGATGATGAGGGATTCCAAAGGATTCATATTCAAAAAGTGACCTAGGAACTTGATTCAACAAAATTGCAATTCAACCCCATCCCTTTCTGTTAGAGCATGGATTGGGCTGCATATTTCTGTTTGAATCCAACCCGTGCCCAAACGTGTGGCAGCCAAATGTGACACAGACCCAACATACTTATGGTATGTAATGACCAAACCTGACCCAAGCCCAGCACAGTTGAGTTTGTATGATGCTTTTCCCTTTATCATTAAATTAAGCAGATGTCTAGTGTGAAGTCTGACCTACTTGTCCAAACCCAACATGAACTCAAATATACTTTCTAAAATTCTGTCCGAATCCAGCCCGAACTGTCAGGTACCTCCACCTCCCATCAGGCTTGATTCCACAGGAATATGAACAGTGCTCCTGTGTTGTTCTAACATTGTTTTCAAGTTTATCAATTGGTCAAATAAAGCAAATCAGTGTGTCTCATTGAATGGAAAGTTCCAGCTTTCCACACTTTTGTAATGTCGAAATGATGAGGCTTTTTAATTAAAATGCTGTTGATAATGTTGAAAACAATGGCCACATCAAGGTTTTGCTTTTACTGTATATGTTTTAAATTATATTTCTATTGAACATCATGGTGTAGCGTATGGATGCCAGGACGCTCATCATTTTCTTTGTTTTCTGCAACCCATCCTGGATTACCTTCACCAGAGAAGAGCTATTTAACATCAGACTACTCACTGTGTGGATATTCTGGTCACAGGAGTAGCAGCCCTCAATGGGACCTGGAGAAAAAGCCAGCGAGGGAAGAGAATGGGGGCCCAACTTCCCACTCATTATTCTATGGGATTTTAACAGAGCAAATCTCACCATGAACTGCCCAAATACAGACAGCATGTCAGTTGTTCCACCAGGGACAAAAACACATTGGGCCACTGCTACACAGTAATAAAAGATGCCTATCGGTCTGTCACCCATGCTGCCCTTGGACTCTGATCACTGCATGATCCATCTCATCTCAGCCTATAGGCAGAAACATGAAGCTGCAAGGTCTGTAATCAAAGCAATGAAGTGATGGACTGAGCAGGCAGTCAGAGCTACAGGCCTGGATGAACTCACTGACACTGTGACATCATACATCAGCTTTCGTGAGGACATGTGCCCCACCAAGACCTTCTGCATATACAACAACAACAAGCCCTAGTTCACAGTAAAACTCAAGCAGTTTCATCATGCCAAAAAGGAGGCCTCATGTTTTAAATGCTCCACTATCATCCCAGTCCCGAAGGAATCCTCCATTAGTGGAATGAATGACTACAAACCTGTTGCAGTGACAGCTGTAGTTATGAAGTCCTTTGTAAGACTGGTGTTGGCCCATCTGAAGGATATCCTAGACCCCTGTTGGACCCCCTGCAGTTTGCCTTCCAGGTCAGTTGGTGATGCAGTCAACATGGCACTGTACATCCTGTAACACCTCAACTCCCCAGGGACCTATGCATGAGTCCTCTTTCCTTACTTCAGCTTGGCATTCAACATCATCATCCCGGACATCATCCACTCTAAACTGACCCAGCTCATTGTGCCTGCCCCCACCTGTCAGTAGATCACAAGCTTTCTGACAGACAGGAAGCAGCAGGTGAGGCTGGAGAAAACCACATCCAGCACCCAGACTATCAGCACAGATGCCCCCCAAGGATGTGTGCACTCCCCACTGTTGTCCTTCCTCTATACCAATGACTGCACATCAGGAGACCCTTCTGTAACAATCCTGAAGTTTGCAGACAACGCAACAGTCATCGGCTTCATCCGAGACTGTGATGAGTCAGCCTACAGACGGGAGCTTGAACAGCTGGCCTTGTGGTGTAGCTCCAACAACCTGGAGCTGAATGCACTCTAAACAGTGGAGATGACAGTGGACTTTAGGAAGAGCCCCCCATCCTGCCTTCCCTCACCATACTCAGCAGCACTGTATCAGCAATAGAGTCCTACAAGTTCCCGGGCTCCACAGTCTCCCAGAACCTGAAGTGGACGTCCAACATCAGGACCATCACCAAGAAGGCACAGCAGAGGATGTACTTCCTGTGCCAGCTCAGGAAGTTCGACCTGCTCCAGGAGCTGCTGATACAGTTCTACAGAGGAATCATCGAGTCTGTTCTCTGCTCATCCATCACTGTCTGGTTTGGCTCAGCAACCAAACAGGACAGGAACAGACTCCAGAGGACAGTCAGTACTGCAGAAAAGATCATCAGTGCCAGCCTGTCCTCCATGGAGGACCTGTACACATCACGGGTCAAAAAAAAGGGCAGAGAAGATTTCTGCAGACCCCTCACATCCTGGACACAAGCTGTTTGAACCCCTCCCCTCTGGATGACGTTACAGGTCACTGTGCGCCAAGACAACCAGACACAAGGACAGTTTCTTCCCCCGGGCCTCGCTCTGACGAACACTTAACCCATGACTGTATAACAGAACAACAACCCTCAGTGCAATACCTTGTAAATATACCTTTGTATTAATTGTATCTATCTCGAAAACTGCATCTAAACTGTGTATATATTTCTATATTTATAAGTACATTCTTTTTATTTTCCTACTGTACATTCCTTTTTTTGTTTGCACATTCTTTTTCTTTTTTGTTCTCTCAGTCTTGTTTACTTGTCTACTCACTGCCAATACAGAAGAGCATTGTACATACATATTGAGAGCCACTGTACCAGAGTCAAATTCTTCATGTGTCCAACACACCTGGCTAGTAAAGCTGATTCTGACTCATATTTTATTCTGTCTTTTACTGCAACTTAGTTTCAAAGTTCCCAGGCATACATCTCAACCTGTTGACAGACCCAATCAACACAAACACCCATATCTCAGGACACATGTAAATACACTACAGGATGTGTCACAACACACACCTCATTGCCATAGAAACTTCGTCCCCTGTCTCTTTTTGGCCCCTGTCCACGTGTCCCCGGCACTTCATTGGTGCTGATCGTCTGCTGAGCTGCTGCAAGAATTTCATCTAGTTTATCTGAGAGAAAAGGAGAGAGAGGGAAAGACAGAGAAAGAGAGGGAGAAAGGGGCATACAACAATGAAACAGAAAAATGGACAGCAACAAAATGAAGAAAATGTGTGGAAGGTGACAGACACACTTGATGAATGTGGATGAGAAAGAGAAGAAGAGATTCAGGAAACAGCCACTGACAAACATGAGCTCCCTTACTCAGAGCCATCTGATAGACTGTCCTCTTCTTCTCTGTAACTTGGGAGGATTCGAATTCTAAAAGAAAAGGTACACACAGCTCACTGAGTTACTGAACAGTCAGTGCCAAGGCGTTTTGGGCAGACAAACACAGTGCCTTGAGTGAGAGTGTCCCGGAGCATACCTGATTTTTTTTTCCAAGGAGTAGCAGCTGGAAGGAGGACAAAAGGAGACTTAAGTTTTGGCAGGAGTTAAAGTGTGACAGCGTTTTTACTGTGAATACTAATCATAGTTCCCGGAGCCTGGCAGAGTCACATCACCAGGCATTTTGCTCTTCCATGTAAAAGATGGTAAATCCCACCCACGCTTTAAAGGCAGCTGAAGCGTGCACACTTAATGTTACAGTAAATATGCTGCACACACATACAGTATGCTGCTTGGTGTCACACTAACACACTTGAAAACACACACGCACACACATATGGAATTAGTCTGAAGCCAACTCCCACCTCTCTCCACTGTTAAGTGGTTAAGATCCCAGCAGCAGTGAAGGGAAGACAAAACAGGCAAAAAAATTGTGGGTAAACCAGTGAACAGAAAAAAAGTCCATATGGTAGTAAAGAGGAAGAATTAGAGGTGACCTTTCAGTGTTTGCATCTGGTGTGAGTGAGTTTTTGTGTGTGGACTGAATAGGAATAGGGTCATCAGCCGTACTTACTCTCAAGCCATTATATTTCATAATGAGTAGTTTAGCTTGAGCATAATTGACCGTAAATTAAATTTTAATGTCCAATGATTAAACCAACCATGAAATGGTTATGAACTCTTACCTATGTCTACACTGCACAAATCCCTTTCAAAATAAGCCACAGCTTTATTGAAACCCACATTCAAACATATTCAAGCAACACTTGCGTGACATCAGTGTTGTGAAAACAAAATGTGTGGACTCAAGTGCATCACTTCAACTTGAAGTCCTTGTTGTCTTCCACCATGACTTGTAGGTGAACTGGGACACTGCACTAATCACAGAGGTGAGAAAGTTTAGCGTGTCACAGCTAAATTAATTCTAATGTATGTGAATGAGCATATGGCAGGGCTTGACTTGGCTTCATCACACATTATGCTCCACTCAACTTGATGGAGATGGAAGCAATGAGGTTCTAAGTTATAGGGTGTTCACAATGCAAATTGAGAGGACACATCTTGAGTCATTTTATATTATTTACATTATTTAATGATTCATGCTCTTTAGATTGACTTTTATGAAAAAAGTTAAGCATCCAGTGATGTGCAAAGCCCAATACTGGATAGTTGAGGCTGATATTGATATCAATATTGACAAAAAAAAATCTGCTAATTATGTTTCAGCCAATACATAAACACCTGATATAACCAAATAACACTGACATAGATTCCTTGGATTTGTTTAAGGGACAAACTATGTATTGGTGACAGATTTAAAGTAATTTAGAAACTATCTTGGCATTTCTGTGCTATAGTTTCTTGTTACTTAACAGATGACATTTACATGATACCAAAATATTTGAAATAAGCCAGTATTGGCAAGATGCTGATTTATCTGTCAAGCTGTACTTCTTCATCTGCAGTTCATTTCAATACCATGGCACAATGATGACACAACTAGTCTTTTGAACCAACAGCGTGGTTTTCTCGAATTATGACCACATTTTCTTTTTTTAAGAAAACATGGCTTCCTTTATAAAGGATGAAGCACACCTTTGTTTTTTCATTAAGTAATAAAGCAATGTTTTTACCATTTTCAGCATGATGATGTAAACTGTAAAATATGAGTGGTTTTCATTTGTTCAGCTGTATCTATGTCTTACAGTTAATGTTATAATTGATTGTTAGGGCAATACTGTATGTAGTGTGATAGTTTTTCCTGTAGAGTATCACTACATATACTGTATACCGTGCTACTGGGTTATGCATGTTGATAGAGAGGCAGGACAGAAACTTTTACCTGTGTTTCAGATTGAATGCTCATGCTTTGTGCTGGTCAGGTGAAGTCATATCAAAAAGAGAAGGCAGGTGAGGGGAGGAGACCAGGGAGGGATGAAGCAAAGGGCTGATTTCTACACTCAGGATAAACTGCAGGTCAGGTCTGGACATACAGCAGCAGGACAGGACTCACTGTAGTCGCTGCTGTTTACAGGGTTGGGCAAGTGTCCATCATTGTTCCTGATCTGAGACCAGCTGATGAAGCCATGTTGATTCATTTCCAGAAGCTACACATATCATCAGCTTTCGTACACCAGTTGCTCGCTGGGCATGTTCATAAGCAAACAGCAGCGACAGACACAGCGAGCACCGTAAATGTTTAGAACATCACCAATAAAACACTGGCCAACGTTATCATCTGCAAATGGGGGTGTTGACCCTCACCGTGCACTCTCTTCCCACTATTTTGCCTCAAATAGATATGGAATACACATAGCCACACATAATGCTGTTACCATAGCAATAGACCTCGAACAAAGTTGTTGTTTTTTTTTTTTTTTTTTTTTTTTTTTTTTTTTTTTTTTTTTTTTTTTTTCTCAAAACTTACTCATCTCAGTAATTTTATCCTGGGTGTGATTTCTTCCACATGAATAAAAGACGTTTTCAACAAAAGATATTAACAAAAGAGGGACTTATTTTGCAACTTGATCACAGCTACATTAAAATCACACACTTTGCAGTGATGCTTGTGGCATGCGGAAACTCAGGTGACACCCATTTCCCTGTCGTGTTACCTTGGCAACAAATATTTGCTGAATGTCAGCTTGGGTGTGTGTGTTGAGCAGTGGGGCTGGTGGACTGTTCTGTGGGGGCTGGAGTTAAAGCTGTGGGTGGGCCACGGAGCAGTGAGAGGGTGCAGAGGGGTAAAAGGTAAGAGAAGCGGGCAGTGAGAAAGGAATCACAGGGTGGATGGTAACACTTTTTGTTGGGTGGGGTTACCTGTAGTGGGGGTGCTGGAAGTGACAGAGTGGAACCTCTGAAAGAACAGTGAAATGCATTGAGACTGTCATCCATGGTGGTAGCCAATCTTCTTTCTTTTACTTTGGCTTCTGTTGCTGAGTAAGTACACTATCTCCCTCTCTACTTTGTTGCTGTCTAAATTTAGCCCTAGCTCTGCTCCCCTTCATACTTTCTTTAACAACCCCCAGCATTCTGGCTTCACATTGTTTCTATCTTTCTTCATCACCTCAATCTATTTCCACTCACTAACTTTTGTTTCTCCTCTTCAGCTCTAAAGCACTCTTCATCTTTGTTTGCATTTCCCTAGTAGTTTATTTCCCCATTCTTTGCAATCCTTCTCTTTTCACCCCCAGCAGTTTATTTAAGCATGCGTCTTACCCATCTCCTCCAGCTCTGAAGTCATGGATTTGGACCGTAGTGCTATAGCTGGCGTGCTCAGCCTCTTACTCTGCTGCGGGACTGGATAGAACAGACAAAGGCAGCACCAGTCAGTCAAGCTGTGGTTACTACCTGTGTTCACCAACAGCACCAACACTGAGTGCAATGGGGTAAGCTCTTACTTTTCTTCCTCGAACCCTCCTCCATGTCAGGATTGCGGGTTACCATGACAACCTTTACCATAAGGCTGTTTCCACCTTGCCGGATCATGTTGACAACCTGCCTGTGACCAACCTTCACCACATTCTGACCATTTACCTGGGACAGACACGGATGGGCAGAGAGAGACAAAGAGTGACTGAGTTTAATAATGCTGGGTTATTTTTACTTCCTTTTCTCAATGATAATGACAGAGACAAATGATTATTTGAAGTTTAGGGTTTCTAGACAATACCAGTATATACCGTGGGTCTACAACTTCATGAATCTGTAAAATTCCAGAAATGATTCCATCTTTGGCTTGATCTGGTGTCATTTTTAAAATTTCATTAGGTATACTTATTCTTACTTTTTTGTACATATTTATGCAATGCTTTTATGTCACTGACAGTAGATTGCTGCCGCTCGTTGCATCAATGTGTTCCTGTGACTTGCATGTTTTATGCCTATCTAGATACCAAATTTACATCAAAAGAAGACTTACAGTAAGTGTTATTCTTACTCTACCTGATAAATAAATGTATAAACTCTGCTGAGACGTTTACTGTATGTTTTCAGTTCTTTACTGTTTAGCAGATGATCTGAAAATCTGTCATCACATTTCAAAGAAATCCAGTAGAAAGTGAGGCCATGACCTGCTGAATGAGGTATTAGTCTATGTTGCAGATCCAGACCCAGGTGTAGATTCACAAAGTTAGCATTTTGAAAATAAATGTTTCATTTGGATCCAGAGGCAGATTAAACATAAAAAAAAAAAAAAAAAAAAACCCATTTTAGAGGCCTCTGAGAGGGCCGGAACG